CTCTCCCTCTTCTCCCCCTCTCCCCCTCTCTCTCTGGAATCAATGAATAAAAGAAGTACTCTTGAGTAAGGATTAAAAAATGTGTGTGTGTATATACATATATATATATGTATGCATATATTTTTACGAAGCACAAGCCTGGGGGCGGGGGAAGGAGCTGGGAACAGCAAGAGAAAAAATCCAGCAATAAAAAAGATTTTTCTTTAATGAAATAATTTAGTTTTAAAAGNCCTCTATCTCCATTGCTACTTCTTTGGTCCAGGACTTGATCTCCTCTGGTCTAGACTGCAGTCGGGTGTCTGCTCTTGGCCTGCTGGTCTCTTCCTCTCCAGTCCATTTTACATGCTACTGCCAGATAATTTTTTAAAGCACAGTCATAATGTTGCTTGCCTTCTCTGAAACCTTCAATGTCTTCCCACTGCTGACAGAATAAAATCTGAACATGTTAGCCTGGCATTTTAAGGCCCTCCATGGGCTAGCCCCCCTCATCTTCCTTGCCTCATCTCTCAGTACCTGCACTCACATCCCTCATGCTTTAGCCCATTATTCCTCAAAGTGTGGTCCCATACCACTGTAAGGACACTAGATGGTGTGAGTTGGTGTATGGATAAAAAGTTATTTTAACGTGTAATGAATAAAAGTGAATTCATGGTAATGATATAAAGTTTCTTGTTAAAATACATAAATTTTGGTTACAGAAATGAGTCAATTTGGAAAAAAATGTTAAATAATAATAGCATAGGAGGTACTCAGCCATGGAAAGAATCAGAAGGTGGGATGCAAATGGCTGAAGTATGGGAAACAAGGGCTCAACCACTTTAGTTTACTCCCTATTCCTTCAGCCCACCATGCAATTTCAGATCCTTTTGCCTTTGGGAATGCTGTTCTTATTCTGACTACCCCCTCCCCAAGTTTCTGCCTATCAAAATTCTCTCAACCTTTAAGGCTTAGCTCACATGATACCTCTTTGGTGATATCTTTGCTGCTTCTCTGGTCAGAATTAAGGGCTTCCTCTTCCACACATCCACAGCACATTACTTATGCTTCTACTTGCCCTGTTTGATTTTGGTGCTTGTGTAGTTCATACCTTACATGTCTGGCCCTTCCCCTACTAAACAATAAGCTTATTGAAAACAGCTGTTAACACAGTGCCACGCAGAGGCGAGAAGACTTATGATAAAATCTGTTATGCTAAATTGTAGCACTAGTAGAAGTTTGATTTCAAAATTCCCCAGGGGCAGGTGAAAACTTACAGTAAGAGAAACCACCAATGCCTTTATTCCAAGCAAGGAAAGGCCTTGTGAGGCTCCAGGGTGTGCATGTGTGTGTAAAGCTATAGGCAACCAGTTGTTTCCAGTGTAAAGCAAAGACCCAGCATTCTAATCAAAGCCTTCCAAGAACATAGCTGGTGTGTCTGAGATGAATTTATGTGTTTTTTTGGTTACTTATTGGATCCAAATTAACTATAGATCTAAGAACCTGTGGGAATTGAAAGTAATTTAATAATTCAATAAACATTGAATGAGCACACCTCATGTGAAATCTCTGTGCTAGAGGCAATGGGGACAGGGTTGGGGACTGGAAGGAGGAGGGTGAAGAGAATAAATATGAAAATAATTAAAATAATTTAAGTATGGTAATTGGTACCATGTATCCAGCATTTTCAATTAAGAAGCTCTGTTCAGCACCTAATGTACATTATCTCACTTAATCATCTCATGACCTTGAGAGGTAGATAATTTTATCACCCCTGTTTTACACATGAAGAAACTGAGGCTCAGAGAGGTCATGTACCTTCACTCCAAGCTTTAGGGGGAAAAGAATGTAGCATTTGTTAAGTCTTTATTATATGCCAAGAGCTATTTTAAGCACTATGTGTATGTTAACTCATATTAATACATGTAGAAAATAAAGTTCTTGCCTTCCAGAAATTCAAAGTCTAGTGGGAAAGACTGATACCATAAATAATGAATACATCCCAGAGAGTGAGAACTATGTAGTCAGAGCTCAAATGTCATTCTATGGGAACCCAAGGAAAAGACTATTCCTTACCACTGGGGAACCAAGAAAGACTTCTTGTAGAAGGCAAGATTTAAGTTGAATTTTGGAAGAAGAATAGGATTTTGACATACAGATTAGTGAAGGAAGAGCTTTCCATGCACAAGGAAGAACTTGAACAAAGGCCTGGAGATGGAGGAGTCCAAAGCCCGTGAGTAACACGATAACCTCCAAACGTACAGGGAATCTGGGAAGTCATGGAATAAGAGATGAAGCTGGGAAAGAAGCTTAAAAAAAAAAAAAGTGTTGGCAATGATGTGGAGAAATTGAAACTCTAGTGCACTGTTGGTGGGAATGTAAAATTGTGCAGCTGCTATGGAAAACAGTATGGAAATACTTCAAAAAAAATTTAAATGGAATTACCACATGACCCAGGAATTCCACTTATAGGTATATATCAAAAATAATTGAAAGCAGGTCTTAAAGAGATATTTGAACATCCATGTTCATAGCAGCACTATTCACAATAGCCAAGAGATGACAGCAACCCAAGGGTCCATCTATTGAGGAATGGATAAACAAAATGTGATATATACAGACAATGGAATATTATTCAGCCTTAAAAAGGAAAAAAAAATCCTGTCACACGCTACAATATGGATGAATCTTGAACACATTGTGTTAAGTGAAATAAGCCAGTCACCAAAGAACAAATAGTGTATGATTCCACTTATATGAAAGTACCCAGGGTAGTCAAATTCACAGAGACAGAAAGTAGAAGGGTGGTTGCCAGGGGCCAGGGGGAGGGAAGAATGGGGATTATTGTTTAATGGGTACAGAGTTTCAGGTTTACAAGATGAAAAATTTCTGTTGATGGATGGTGGTGATGGTTGCATAACACTGTGAATGTACTTAATGCCACTGAATTGGACACTTAAAAATGGTTAAGATGGTAGCTTTTATGTTATGTGTATTTTACCATGATTTTTTAAAGCTTTAAAAAATGCAGGTCAAAGAAAACAATCACATTTATTATTAGTGTTTTTACTTAAGATAAATCAAAGCCATCATTTGTCCCTGACATCCTCAGTTCACTCCTCCAGCTCTTTCAGGATGACTGGAGTCTGGTAAGATTGGGGGTGGGCATTACCAGGAGGCAAACTCTCACCTTCTTGGACACTTACATAGTCAGTGTTGGATATACCTTCTACCCTATCCCTGTCCAGAGAGAGTATCTTTTGAGAGGGGAAAGGAAGAGAGAAAAAACGCTTAAAAAGAAATCATTTTCTGGGAGAAAAGTAAGCACATTTTATTGAGGAGGGCTCCCCAGAAGAGCCAGAACAATCTGGGCCCTTGGGTTCAAATACCATACAAAAGCTTTCTGTGGTGGGACAGACCCCATACCTAAAAAGGTCAGCTCACACAGCTTTTTCTCTCTTGACCTCCTTTCCCTGCCCTCTTTGCCCCCTCTTTCTGGGATCCAGACTTGAAATGGTGGCTGCCATCATGATGCTAAATCTCTGAGGACATTCCTGTGCCCCTCACTTTCCTAGCTAAGGTCTGGAACTTGTCAAAGGAGTCTTTTTGAAGAAGTTAAGAAAAACACAAAGGAAAACAAGAAGAAAAAATGAAAGACTAGAAACAAATACATTTACAGAAAAATTGCTTCCTTCTCTTATTACCAGAGTCATGCCATTGATGGACTAAGAGCTCGGCATAGTTTGACTTCAATAAGGCTCAATAAATCTTCATCTTTTGGGGGCAATGGGCCCCTTTGGCAGTCTGGTGAAGCCTATGGACCCTTCTCTGGATTGTATTTTTAAATGCACAAAATAAAATACAGATTTACAAAGGAAACTCAACATATTGAAGCACAGTTATCAAAACATTACCAAAAAAATGTGATCTGGTAACATGGGCTCATTGATTTATGCATTAAATAACCAGGCCTAATGGTAGTTCAAATAACTGTAAGAATTTCTGAAGCAGTCACGAGCATAAATAAAATGTCAAGATGCCTGCAGCAACTGGCACATGATGTGCACATCTTTGCAATGTCTATTAGTGACACATTCACAGGTACTGCTAACGCTTCTGTGGTTTGTTGCCTACACTCATCATTCCATTTGAAATTAGTGAAATTAAAGAGATAATTTTTTCCATCCAAATTCAAAGTTGCACCCAGCCGGTGTGGCTCAGCAGTTGAGCATCAAGATCCCGGTTCAATTCCCTGTCAGGGCACATGCCTGGGTTGGGGGCTTGGTCCTCAGTAGGGAGCATGCAGGAGGCAGCCAATCGATGACTCTCTCATCAGTTCTATCTCTTTCTCCCTCTCCCTTCCTCCCTCTGAAATCATTAAAAAAGAAAAAAAATTCAAAATTGCCCACACCCCCGATTTGAGGTCCTGTTTAAGAACCTCTACTCTAAGGGGTTATACAGCTGTCCATGGATTGGAATAGGCTGCCTCCTACTTGTCTCACCCTTCAGGATGACATTTCTCCCTGCCCAGTTTCCAAGCTTGCCCTTTAATTGGCTGCTGACAAAGCTCTGGTTTCTGTCTGGGAGTCCACTGAACAGCTGGCCTTTTCTCAAAATTCTGTCTAATGAGTTACTCAGGCAGCCCTGAGATTTTCCAAATTCTTTCACCATTGCCTTATACTGGGAAATCACCTTACACCTACCTAATAATACCAATGCTGCAAGTCACTACCACCTTTGCCCCAGTCTGTGAATCTGACTCTGAACTAGAGGGGGCAGTCCTGAGAAGGCTGGGGTGATATTCAAACTAGAACAACTATAGCCTCATTCCTGGCCTTCACACCCCTCAGTTGGGAGGAGAGAAATCCAGTGAACTCAGCAGTAGTGAGTGAGGAGGCACAGTCCTTCCCAGGGGGAGGGGGCCAACCAAATAATAGTCTCTTTGAAGCCCTCCTCATCTGTGAATTCCTGGCCTCTTTCTTGGCCTGTTTCCATGTGCTCTCTAGCTCCTGGGGTTCACTCACCTAAAAATATGAAGACTGGGATCCACTGAAGAACAGAGAGGGTTTGGAGGATCTCCTGAAGATTCTGTCGGGAGAGGAAAACCATGACTGTGGTGCTGTTCTGCTGTGGCAAGAAGCCCAAACGGAAGGCCAGTGCCTGTAAAGCTGAGGTGCTTGCAGGTGCTTTGCTTTAATCTGTTATCACTGAGTCCCTTTAGCTGCTAGAGGTTTTAGGGTTGGCCTAAACTTTCCTCCAGTCTTCCCTGTTTCTCTGCCCCGCCTCAACTTCCTACACACATCAGATTTCAGATCCTACTATCTAATCTCCCTAATATACATATATTCTTTCTCCATGTGTGCTCAAGTGCAATGAGGTAGAAATAGCCTTGAGGTGGTTCTAGCTGTGTGTGTGTGTGTGTGGGGGGGGGGGTTACCTGATAAATTAGTGCAGAAAAAAGAATGGCTTAGGCCTCAAATGGGACCTCCGAAAGCAACCTGCTACCTTTCACTGCTTAAGAAAGGGACCTGGTGACCACATTTGTTTCTGCCCTAGTGGCTGCTCTTTGCCTCCTCCTGTCTCCTGCTGAGAGGTCTTTTTCTGCATGGATATCTATACTTCTCAAATCCTTCCTTGTGCATCTATTCCCAGGGGCTCTGTATCAGTGGCCAGATACCATATGATAGAGTGGGAAAGCATTGCACAGAGAGCAGACCTAGGTTCCAGTCCTAGCTCCACCATGTTTTTCCCATGACACCTTTGGAAATTGCTCATCTCTCTAGATCTCAGTTTAACCATTCATTGTTGGGAGGCAGTTTAGTGGTTAGGGGCATGGAGTTGAGAGCCAGATAGCAGGATTCAAATATCAGCTCTGCCAATTACAAACTGGTGAAGCTTTGTGCCTCAGTTTCCCCTATCTATAAAATGGCAATAATAACAGTACCTATTTCATAGGGTTGTTCTGAGGAGTAAATGAGTGGATGAATATAAAGTGCTTTGCACAGAGCCTGGCACATAGTAGGAATTAGGTAACTGTTTCCTGTTGTTATTATTTGTTTAGTTCTATTAATGTCTAGGTTCCAGGGTAAGAGGCTTTCTTCTGCATACCAGCCTCTGCAAAATTAAAGATTATCCCCAGGTCCCAGACCTCTGGATTCATTTTTTTCCTGTAATTATCTATTGAGTGACTGCTGTTTGCCATACTGTATTGTAGGTTCTGAGGATTGAGTGGAGAAGATGGACATGACTCATACCTTCAACGAACTTACAGTCTAGTGGAGGAGACAGACTTTAAACAAACAATCATGAAAATGTTTCTACACTTGAATTTGTGATTGTGTCTTAAAAAACAGGGCTGGTATTCTCAGTGTAAGGCCTTGAGTATACAAGGTGCTCAAAAAAACACTTTTGAATATAATCAAAAGGGTTGCTAGGAAAATCAAATACAAGAATACTATCAAGTGTCCTACAAGTGCAAGAAAATATTGATTCCTTAGCCTTCTCCAAGGAGATAAGCAGAACTCTGTCTTCCTCCCTACCCACCAACTCTGGTTTGGGCCTCCTGATTATACTAATACGACTCTTTAGAGTTGAGCTTAGAGAACTTTTTGGTATGTTGTGGGGGTGTGCTTTCATTCTCCAATGTATCCTAGATGGCCACCTGACCTGTAGCACCTTTCTCCACTTCCTTTATATTTACTTTTCCCTAGCTGTGGTTCTTAAGCTGCTTCTTGGGGCTACTTGACCACATACACGTTGAGATGTATTGGAGCCTGTCTGCTCAGAATTTGCATGGGAGGAGGAAGAGAGGTAAGAGAGTCAGGTCTGGCTCTCCTAATGGAAAGCACAGATGTGAAGAGGGCTGGAGTATCCAGGATAAACAAGATCCCCAATGTTGAGAGCTCCAAGTCCCCTTACATGTCAGGTCTCTACCCCCTTCACTTTCAGATTGGTAAATGGAAAAGGCCTAGAAAGGACTCAAGGTCATACAGGACACCAGAGGCAGGACAAGGACAGACCAATTTTTATTTCTGTGCCCCTAATGTGTGGCTCAGGGCCTGGTTCAGAGTAGGCACTGAAGTAAATGCTTGTGGAACAAATGAAGGATGTCTGGTCTCTTGGTTCTTCGAGCAAGAGTGACTGGTAGGGCTGGGCCCAAACCCGATTGGCCACCCCTTTTCTACTGAACAGAGCATGCTGTTCCAGCTGCAGCTCTCCTGAGCCAAATGGACAAGTGTAAAATACCAGGGAGTGTATGAAAAGCAGGGAGAAGAGAAGTAGGCCAGCAGATAAACCCTGAACAGCCAGCACTCATGATGTCCCAATGACAATCCAACCAACCAGAAAGCAAAGGCTTAGCTGACTTAGAGAAAGCAGTACCAAAGAAAAGGTGGCCAAAAAGCACAAAAGGTCTGCCAATTCCATTCACAAACATTTAAGGCTGACATGATTCTAACCGTCGAGAAACTCACAGCCCAGCACACAAGGTAGATGTAAGCCCAGACACCTGTATGGGGAACCATGGGGTGAGCAGGTAAGAAGCAGCCACTAGCCCCAGGCAATCAAGGAAGGCTTGATGGAGCAGGGGCTGCTGCAGTGAGCAGAAATGGACTAGGCACAAAAGGTATGAAGGGCAATCTAAGGCAGACTGCAATTAGTTTTCCAAACCAGAAGGAATGGGGGGGTCTGCGATAAGCTGGGAAGCTAAGAAGTTTCTAAGGAGCAACAGAAAAACAAAGAAAGGACAAGAATGGAAGGAAAAGAAGGTCAAGGGGACCAGGGAACTCAGAAGGAGTGGTGGAAGTGAGGGTAGCTGAGAAAGAAGCAGTCCCAGGATTCTTCTTTCTGAACTCAAAGGTTCACCCTCAGCCTTCAGAATGGCTCATTTCCAGAGTCATTTGGATAGCTGGGGTTTTGCCATAATGTGTTTTCTTCTGATTTCCCTATTCTGACATACTCTTATGTGGTTGGAGTTGCAACTACACTTCAATTAAAAGCATTTGTGGAGAATCTATTTAATGCCAGGTACCAGGTACTATAGAAGGAACATACATAGTGCTTTCATTCACCATATTTCTATTGAGGTCCTACTGTAAACCTGGTATTATTCTAGGTTGGCAATTGTGTGTGTGGTTGGTCAGGGGGGCAGGTAGAGAGTAAAAGATGTGCATATATAATTAATACAAGGATTAGGGCCATCAGAGAATTACAAATAAGTCAGAGGGGAAGGCTAGTAGCTCTGTGACCTTGGACAAGACATTTCCCCTCTCTGAGTCTCTGTTTCCTCATTTGGAAAAAGGTACTAGTCACATTTATTTGCTGTGAGGATTAGTGCTATTGTTTGAGAAGCTCCTCAGGAGGTATCTGACACCCAGGCACTACTCTATAGAACTGGTATTGAGCTGTGGGGAGGTGGTATTTGCAATGGGCTCCAACAGGCAGAGAAAAAAGGGAACATGACCTATCTTGTAGTGGCCCAGTGGACCCAAAAGTCTAAAGGTTTGCTTTGGCACAGGGACTAGTTGAGTTGGACTGGGCCTCAATTTTGTGGAGGGGAGTAGGAAAGAAGGCTAGAAATTGGTGAGGATGTTTTTTTCACAGATCTCTTTATGTCTAGAGGTCAGCGGATCTAGAATCAGTGAAAATCAACCCAGGACTGGTGGTTCGAGGAAGGGCCTGTGGAGGTAGAGAGTAGGGTACAACTGAGTATTTCAGTCTCCCGGAAGTCACTGGATCACTTCTCAAAGGCAGGTAGGCCCTGGGATGTAGCGTCAGGTTAGGTTGACCAACCTTATCTGCTTGCCAGGGGCTGAGGAGCTGCCTAGGACATGGGACTTTCAATGCTAAAATCAGGATGGTCTTGGGCAGACCAGGACAGCTGGTCCCCTAGTTTAGGTCCTTGCCACTGTGCCCTGGACTTCAGCAGGCTGTTCCCCGCTGGGCTCCCTTTCTTTGGTCCCCACGCTGCTGCTAGAGGATCACTGTCACACATAGCCCTTTGTATCTTCCCTGTTTCAAACCCTCGAAAGTCTCCCATTGCCTCCGGGATCAAGTTTGGACCCCAGAGCCTGGCACCCATAGCCCTGTCTACACTGGTTTCTGTCTTCCTTGAAAGTCTCATTTCCCACACTGTCACCCTACACCAGATACAGCCTCCTTCCCCAAACAGCAAGTGCCCTTTCCTATTCTGGGCCTCTGCCCACAGTAGTCTCTTATCAGTTGAACCAATTCCTACTCAGGCTTCAAGGTTCAGTGAAAATGTCATTCCCTGAGACTCTGCCCACTTTTCTCCTCTGGGTTTCCAAGGCACATTAGACACACCTTTGGAACAGCCCATATCAGGGAATTAGTTTGGGAGTGTAGATCCCACCTCTACTCCCAGCTTCCAGGGCTATGTGTAGTAACTTTTGGAATATATAGGGTATCCCGAAAAATGTATACACACACTTTGAATAATTATAAAGGCAGTGTTTATTAAAATACATTTCATTTTCAAAATTGAGCTATCAGTTGTTAAAGTGTGTGTACATTTTTTGGGACACCCTGTATATTTTGGTCAGAATATTCACATGATTCAAAATTCAAAAGGGATGATAGAGAATTCAGTGAAAATCTCCTTCCCACTCCTGGCCTCTAACAAGCCAACACCCCTCCTTCTCCATGGATATTTTATGCTCACACAAGCTAATAATGTAACTTATTTGTTAAATGAATAAAGGAGCAAACAATAAAAACCTGGAAATAATCCAAATGTTCAAAATCTAGGGCTGGCTAAGTAAGCTGTTATACAGCAACTTTATACACTAATCTGCAGTCATTAAAAGTCATTGAAATTATTGTTAAAAGCAGAGTATAAAGCAGACCTCTCCATTGAATGAACTTTGTTAAAATGTGTTCTCTTCAGTGTTAGCATAAAAGGTCTAAGAGAGAAATGATTGCTGTTTTAAGATGAAGGGGTTCTGGGTTTTCTTTTATGTGCAATTGTTTTAATACGAAAAGAGAGAGGCTGGATTATTGTGCATCTACCTGATGAAGAAGTGTGATTCATGATGGGACTCATTCATTCAGTAATTCATTCCACAAACATTGAATGCTTGCTTTGTCAAAAG